TCATGTGTCAGTTGCGCACTTCTGTCGTCTTAAATTGAGCGATTCCGGCGACTTCCGCCACCGCCAAGAGTATCCCCACGCTACGTGAGCGATGTGGATTGGGGCTAAACTAGATGGATGGGACTCATGAGCAGCAGCTACCACATCTCCTTCAGCTTCCATCATTTTATTTGCTCGTGAGTCCTAGCCATCTAGTTTAGCCCCAATCCACGCGGCGTGGGGGATACTCTCAGTCATGGCGGAAGTTCGCAATTCGGCGGTGGCGTTATAGTCCCCAAAAGTGCGTAATTGACACGTGAGTGAGGCCCTGTTAGGATATATTTTATGCCATGATGATTTAGGACCGTTATTCAGAGGATATCCTTTCTTATCACTTAAAAAGGCAGTTGGTACATTGTGTTGTGGTTTACAGCTAGGCTGCGATATCTGCACCTTTCTCCCCAGAACATCAAATTTCAGCAAAGTCCTGATTAGTCGCATTTTACAACATGCTTTTTAGGTGGCAGTTGATCTCTTCTTTTTTTTCCCCTCAAATTTGTGGCCCTGGAACCCACAATAGGAGTCACAGGTAATGTGAACAGTGGATCAAATAATATTCCTCCCCAAGAGGCTTTAATGTTTGAAAACTATTCCTCCCCACAACACTTAAACAATGGATGAAAATATATTCCTCCCCACAACTCTTCAGTGGGTCAAAAACTTCCCCCCCCACTGCGCTATCCATCAAGCAAAAACGTTAGAAGTGGAAACTGACGATGATGGCCTAAATGTTTTCACTATATAACCTATTGAGGAACTCGAAGGAATGTTTTTCACAGTGATTAATTTTTAGACCGGTATTCAGAAGAGTGCCCAGTTTTTCTTTTCTTCTCTCTGAATCTAGTTTTAGGTTGGATTCGCAGTCGCTGTGGTGTAGCGGATAGACGCTCGCCTGCGGATCCGACGGTTGTGGGTTCAAAAATGTCCCCTAAGTGGGTACCAACCCTGGTAAGTTTAGTACAGAAGACACCTGATGTGATGTTGGCCACATCATCCACCTAGCTAAATGGATTGATCTATAAAATAAGGGGCTAGCTGTGTATGCCCACCAATACACCTAAAGGCATTAAAAAGGGTCCTTTACTTTGCTTTTACTGAATTTATGTTAGGCTATTCTATTCAGAATTTTTGCTATATGAAAGGTATGCCTAATTAATGACATTACTATCTTCATCATCAGTATTCTGCTTTTGCTGTTGAGCGTTGTAGGGGGTGGGGGGTGGGAAATGACAGTGTAGCACAGGCTGTTGTCATACCATACTCATTCCTGTCAGTGTGAAATGTTTGATGTCCCGATGTCTTAATCTTTTCCTTGGGTGTCCTCCTGCTTTCATGCTAGATTTTTTTAGATTTAGCACCTGTGCTGGTTATTGTGGCTACGATGACGTTTTGTTTCTCAGTGAATTTGATGCAAGGGGTTATTTTTTTTCCCCCAAGGTCTGTCTGATTGTTCTGTCTGTAGGGGTTCCTGGGACACTGTTTTCATTTCAGGAAGGGGCGGGGGGAGGATAGACTTGGTGCCCCCCTAACAATCATATTGTAAAAGACAACTAATTAGGGGATTTTATTTTAAGTCACAGTCCATCTACATGGGGGATGAGGAACCAACAGTCTGTATATAAATGAGCCAGATTTGTAAAACTAAAGTTCTGGATCAAGTTGAAGACCAAAGTCCGTAAGTGGACAAACAACCAGAGATATCTGCCAGTCTGCATCTGGTGTGCACTAAGACGAGGAAGTTTATAAGTGTCATTTGCACTCTGTCTTGGATTTTTACATTGGCATCTTATCCCACATGTTTTATTTTTATGCAGGTTAGTCTTTGATAAAGTCCAAGTTTGATACTGGTGTGAATATAATGTTTATTATAACCTGTTTCTGTATATAATTACATATGTGCACTTAATTACAGACTTATTTTTATCATATAGTAGGTTCATTGAAAAATGATCTCATTGCACAATGCAAAAGGCTCAAGATCGGTTGCAACTTTCCTGTTGGAGCATTTTTATGCTGTTGGTACTTTTAGACATTATCGTCTAACGATGAAGCCAGATTTTCAAAAAATGCAATAATTTTTTAAAGAATGGTATCTATCTCACTTGATTCCATTGGTGGCAAGTGATTCCATCGGTGGCAAGAAATGTTTCTGTTTTGGTTTATTCAAAATTCAGATTTGACCCAACTGCAGACTTACATAGACAGCTTGTTTTGCTGCTTTATCTCAGAATGCTTCTAGAACATTAAATAGTTATGAATAAAATTCCAGTGCGATTAATATCAGACAGCACCAAAAAGTTACAAGTTCAAACCTATTGTCACATGACTGCATCCTGCAAACCTAAAGCACCCACCAGCCAGTTTTTTTTTTTTTACCAAGTGGAGAAAACAGTGCAAGCCACAAGCATGAAACTAGTCAGATTCACTGGCCACACAGCACATAGATAGTCAAGGAGGTAAATATCCATCATATGCACTGAGGTAGTAATTAACCTGTATGGCCATCATACCTGTATGAATGGTTAAGGAGTCATTCATAAAGAGAATACAGAAAGCTGAGGCCATGATGACATAATTGTTGTGAGGTCCAGAGAACTACAAAGCTGATTATTTTTTTTTTTTCAACACTGAATAATTTGTCAAACAGAATGTTTAATAAAGTTAGTGAAGTAATAGCTTGTTTCTGTAATTGTTGCAACTTTATAATGTTTATCTTTTGTTTTCTTTCATTTGTTTGCAGTTAATTTGTTAAAGAACAATGGCTTTTTTGCATTCATTTTGTGATGAGTATGCAAGTGATTCTGATCTTGAATTAGGGGTAAGTTTTATATTAACCTCAAAAAAATGAGTTGAATGAAACTTAAAATTTATATTTTGAAGATCGTTGTGTGCTTCTATATAAAAAGAGACCATACTTTCATGTCAGTTTCAGAACTGCTCTAGGGATTTTTTTTTTCTTTTTCATATGTCAGAGTTATGTAAATCGGTTGTCTTAAATCTGTTGTCCTCTCTACAGCATAACTGCGTTATGCACCTTTCAGCCAAAATATAACACTTCTTCGACCATTGGATTTTGGAATAGGGGGGGGGGGGAAGTTAGTGCTTTGGTGGTTCTGAATATACCTTTTGCGGCCAAGATTTGCCACCTACAATAAAGGACAAATGCCTGCTTTTCTCATTTGGAAGTATCTTTTAATTTTGATACAATGTGCTTTTGGGCATGTAGTAATACATTCTTTCTCATACTAACACATTCTGGACAGTTACTCTTCTTAACATTCACTGGCTGTAAACTCTGGCAGAAAGTTCTGATTGTTCATCCACTTCTGGACTTTGTGTTTTGCTCGCAAGTCAGTTTTACAGATCTGGCTTATTTGCAACTTACTTGTCTGGAAGAAAGAGCTTGAGATGACCATCAGTATCTCCAAAACTAAAACCATGGTGATCTCAAGAGAGGAGAAGAAACACCAGATAACGATGGGTCAGCATGCATTGGAGCAGGTCAACCAGTTTAAATATCATGAGATTTGGAACAACAGATCAACATCATGGCACATGGGTAATAACCGAAAAGAGCTCTATTCTTCTTCTAACTCAAGTATGAGTCCAAAGAAGCTCAGCAAAGTGCACAGGCTCTGTAGCACTGATGAGGATCCTGAAATATTTTGTTTAGATTTTTAACTCCAAACTCTGCCCAGGCAGTGCCGTAAGGCTACTCTTTTCTATTTGCAGCTGCCAAAGGTTATTTTTTTATGTGCGCAATAATGCACACGGGTGTCGATCTCACTACCCCTAGGCCAGGGGGAATTACTAGAAGTCCAATTCTATGTGAGAAATCCCAGCCCTCACTGGCGATTGAATCCGGAACCTCTAGCACTCGAGGCAAACACCATGCCATGCAGCCCCCCCCCCCCCCCCTTCCCATTTTAGATACCTTGGAGTTGTGATAGGCTGGAAATGAGTCATTAAGACAGAGCTGGCTACTTGAAAAACAGCTGCTGTGAGACTTTTCCAGGCCATAAACAAATTATTTTTTAGCAGAAGTGAAAATGGCAAAAGGATGAAAATGGCTGTTTACTGTTTTACTTATTTGCCAGTCCTGACTTATGGGTTTGAGTCATGGGCAATGACAACAGCTCACACAAGCCAGGTTGAGGCCTCAGAAAAAAGATATCTGAGAAAGGTGGTCCAAGCGACAAGAAGGGACAAAGTCCGCAATCATAGAGTTTGTTGAGATCTTGAAATCCAGACCTTTCAAACTCGAGTGGACCACTCACAGTTACGATGGTTTGCTTTGTATACAGAATGGGAGAGAATCGGCCACAATGGGAGGCCAAGAACCAGGTGACCAGACCACCTGGGCGACCAGGGTACGCATGTTTTCTATCCTTTCCTCTCCCCCACAATGAGGTCCCGGAGCGGGAAGGATGAGAATTCAACAGGAGCAAATCCCCAAAACCCCATTAAATAGTATAAAACACAGTCATATTAGGGTACCCCAGCAGTTAATACCTGACCTGAAGTCCAGTGTGGGGATAGGATGTAAAGCATCATTAAATACAAATATGTATGTGTATTTTACATATATTGAGCTTTCGCATTAATTGTAAAATCTGATCTCTCAAATTTTGTTCTGAAGACCTATGTTTGGTATTGAAAGTATTAGTAGTACATTTTACCCCACTAGGACATCACACAAGCGATAAGCACCCAATGACACAAAGTGCCACCATGTGGGTGAGGATCACCCGTGGAGAGATCCCGGAAACCGCGTTCAGCCATTAGACCATATTTATGGCCGGGCTATATTGTGGCCCCTGGCAAGAGCCAGGGTAGGGTTTCAAAATTAAGAAAAATGGCATCCCACAAGGTAATGACGGATAATCTATATAAGTATTGAAAGACTGTTGACTGGCTTTTATACCTCGGTATTAATAAACTTTTTTATAATAATAAAACAGTTGCCGTCAGCGGATGAATCTGATGACGAACAGATCAGGGCGTCAGTGGATGTTGGAGTAATAGTTCCACATTTCTGCAATAAGCTGGCAGAGCAGACAAGACCGTTGCTGTGTCACAGTCATGGAATACCTTCACCATCGAAACAGATGAAAGAAAACACCAGTGACAAATCTAAAGAATCAAAGGCAAAGAAGAGGCTGTTTAAAGGTAGGCTTAATCTATACATTCTAAGGAGCTCATATGTAGGTATTGCAACCTGTTTCTAAAGGCTGTGTTTCCTAGTTCATCTTTATGATCTTGAATGCATATGTATAGTTGAATGCGTGTATTTGCATTTCTACTTCTCTTCGTCATGTTCACCGGCTGTAAACTTCTGTGCAAAATCTGGTTGTTTGTCTATCTCTGGATTCGAGTCCTTTCCCAGCACTGAGTTTTGTGTGCACATCCTTTCCACAGATCTTGCTATTTATATGCAGACTGTTGGTTCCTTGCCTCTCAGGTCTGAATCATATATATGGTGGTGCACCAGGAAGAGGAATCATACGGATCATCAAGACCTATCTACGCCTGTCTGCAGTCATCCAAGATACATCAAGACCCATCTACACCTGTCTGCAGTCATGCTAGAAACAGCAAGACCTCTCTCTGCAGTCATCCAAGATACATCAAGCCTAATCCACATCTCTCTGCAGTCATCCAAGATACATCAAGCCTAATCCACATCTCTCTGCAGTCATCCTAGAAACATCAGGATCTATCTACACCTGTCTGCAGTCATCCAAGATACATCAAGACCCATCTACACCTGTCTGCAGTCATCCAAGATACATCAAGACCTATCTACACCTCTCTACAGTCATCCTAGAAACAGCCAGACCTATCCACACCTCTCTGCAGTCATCCAACATACATCAAGCCTAATCCACATCTTTCTGCAGTCATCCAAGATACATCAAGCCTAATCCACATCTCTCTGCAGTCATCCAAGATACATCAAGCCTAATCCACATCTCTCTACAGTCATCCTAGAAACATCAAGACCTATCTACACCTCTCTGCAGTCATCCTAGAAAAAAAACCAGACCTATCCACACCTCTGCAATCATCCTAGAAAAATCAAGACTTATCTACACCTCTTTGCAGTCATCCTAGAAAAATCAAGACTTATCTACACCTCTTTGCAGTCATCCTAGAAAAATCAAGACTTATCTACACACCTCTGCAATCATCCTAGAAAAATCAAGACTTATCTACACCTCTTTGCAGTCATCCTAGAAAAATCAAGACTTATCTACACACCTCTGAAATCATCCTAGAAAAATCAAGACTTATCTACACACCTCTGCAGTCATCCTAGAAAAATCAAGACTTATCTACACCTCTCTGCAATCATCATAGAAACAGCCAGACCTATCTGCATCTCTCTTTAGTCTTCCTAGAAACAGCAAGACCTATCTACACCTCTTTGCAGTCATTCTAGAAACAGACCAAGACTTTCCAGCAAAGTTTACAGCTTGTGAACATAAAGAAGAAGAATACATGTAATACCATTTTTAAAAATGTTGCCACTGGGTGTTTGTCACAGTATAATTATACAGTTCTTTTGCTGATTGGTTTAGGTAAACAGCAACCATCTAGTGGTGTCATTGAGCGGAGATATGGCTACATTCCTAATCCAAGGTGGCCCAAGTCATTTTCGTATGCCAGGGCATCATATGAGCCAGTTGGTGTTGGAGATAAAGACAGAGGGAGTATCCCAGGAGTTGTCTTCCGTGAAAAGCAGAGATCGAAATCTCGTGTCGGTGATAGCTTCAGTGAACATTCTTATATCGAAAGGGATTTTCCAATGCTGCATATATCTAGTGCTGAGAGGTAAGCTTTTTTCATTCTTTTTTTTTTAAAACAGATTTTTTCTCTGTGATCTGGTGCCTTTCTATTATAAACCTGGATTTACTCAGAAATTTTGATATCATAATTGTTATCAAACAGGTTGCTAAGGAGCTTTCATAGCAGTAGGCAATTTATGGAAGTCAGAGGGGTGGAAAAAGTGTTTTTTTGTCTGCTTAGTAAAGTGTGATTTGTAAGGTGACTATAAATAAGGCCAGTCTTGGCATGGAATGTTCTCTCATAGTGGGAGCAGGGGATTTGATTTGCATCAGGGGTGAGCAAACACTGGCCCACGGAGCAGTTTTTACTGGCCTGCCAAGCTGGTGAAAGTTACTATATTATCTGCCCCTTCAGCTCACAAAATAGCAGAACACTAAAATGTGCATTAGTATGCAGAAAGAAGAAAATCCACATACCAAAATCCATAAAAGAAAGTCTTTGTGGCGTTGGTGGCTAGACATCTGCCTACGAATCAGAAAGTCCCGGGTTCGCCTGACTTTTTTCAAAAATGACTGACTCCCAGATGGACCCAGCCTTGCGTGGGTACGAGATGCAGTCCTGGGAAGTAAAGACAACCGGCATGATGCTAATCACATCACACACCAAGTACAGATTGGTCTATAAAATATAGGTCTAGCCCTATGTTTCCAATTTGCCTAAAGGCATGGAAAAGGGACCTTTACTCTTAAATTTAAAAGGAAAAAATAAAGTGATAGCCTAAACCAGTGGTTCTCAATCTGCAAGTCGCGATCCTTTTTTTTGGGTTGAATGACCCTTTTACATGGGTCACCTAAGACCATCGGAAAACACATAGTCATTGAGGTTATGAAGGTAAATAATTGTTTGAAGGTCGCCACAACATGAGGGAACTGTATTAAAGGATTGCAGCATAATTAAGGTTGAGAGCTATTGGCCTAAACAGTGATAACCAGAAAATGAAGTCGTCAAATCTGTTATCCTGCCAGTGAAACATGTGTTGCAGAAAAACTCAAACAGGAGACGGTGGCTGTCAGCGGAGTGGTAATAAAATATAAGGCGGTGACCATTTAATTGTCTCTGGTCGTAAAGTTTATAGATCAGTCAGCTTGAACAGACACATTAAAAAATATATAGAAGTTCTTCGGTGGGTAGATGTGTCTGGTCAGAGGCGTAGTGAGAGATTATAATCTTACATTATGTCACAAATATCGTTGTTATGAGGAAATCTGGGTGTTGAAAACAGATTGTGCATGACGTAAATTATTTTAATGTTTGCTGTATCTGAGATGAAGCAGAAAAAGAATTACACAACAGGCATTGAAATGGGCAGCAAAAGGATCGATGAAGCAAGAAGGTCTAAGTGGAACATTTACGAGAGTGATCATGGGTGCCCACATAATTCATCATATCATCATCCCATAACACTATGTGTTGTTGGGTCACCAGTTTCTATTGACTGTCCGATCAGCTCTCTCCACCTTTGGCGGTCAGTTCTTCTTCTTCTTCTTGTTCACCGGCTGTGAATTCCGGCGGTAAGTCGCGGTTGTTCGTCCAAAATGGACTTTTGGCTTTTACCTTGACCTGAGTTTTGCGTGTACATCCGTTTTACTGTCTTATTTGTTTGCAGTACTCGTTCCCCGCCTCTCCGGCAGATGTACTCCGACTTCGGAGGAATGGCGGTCAGTTGCGATGGTCTTCACGGTTGCATGCCTGATGCCTGTCCAGTCAGTCAGGTTGTGTAACCAGGTCTTTCCTGGTCTGCCTTTTCTCCTCTTTCCCTCTGCTGAGCCCTGCAGTATTGTTTTTTAAAGGCCATTAGATCTTATGACATGTCCATACCATTGCATTTTTCGACTTTTCACTGTTGTTAAAAGAGGTTCATACTTGCCAACAGACTTAGATTCCCTGCAACATATCAGAATAATTGCACACAAAAATGAAGAAATAAAGGAATCTAGTAGGGGTATCAGCACAAACAATGATAATGTCAGGTTTAGATGTTTCTAATGTATGTGAGTTTTGGCATAAAAGTTTCTCTATGAGAGAGAAGATATTTATGGCTGCAAAATGGAGTAGCACATAAGGTACACCATGTGATGAAAATATGGTAAATGTTCAAATGATAAATTGTGTTTACAGGTCAGAAAAATCTACTACTTCTGTGTCAGCATTGCATCCCCCTCTTATAGACAACCAGTGTAATGTTTCAGCGACTGTGCACCAAAATGAGCTTTTGCTCATTGGCACAAATGAAGTCAGTCCCTTCCGAAATTGCCATGATTCTCCATCCACATCAACTCCTGTAAAACGAGGCAACATAATTTACTCCTTGACACAGAGCCCAGATAATGACTCGATGGAATCTTCAGTGGGTGCTTCTGACTCAGCAAACAGTACCCGTAGTCCTATAAAGAACCCTGTGGTCTCAGACGTTGTTCCATATACATTCAGTATGGTTCCAAAAAAGATTTCCCCAATTTCTCTTCCAAGTAGGACTTCTAACTTCAGTCCTCAGACAGGAGATAGCGATGGTTCATCTAGTTTGTTTAATGGAAAGCAAGATGCCTCACCACTTTCAAGGATATTGAATGAAAGCAGCACGTGGTCAGACATGCTGAAACAGAAAGATGAAGTGAGTGGTAGCAGTAAATACAGTTATCTGCCTTCACAAACACAGAACTTTAACTATAACTGCAGTATCGGTCGTGGTACTGATGCAAGGCACTTGTCTCCAGTACCAGGGTCTGATCAGTCATCACAGAGTGAAAATAGTCTTCCCTCTAACAGTTCACAGACTTCTGCTCCAGTATGGGATCTTACTAAACATGTCACAGCTTCGTCAAAGTCTACATGGTCCCATGTCGCAAGAGGGCTTCCCAGCCAGAGAGATCAAACTGTTTCCCCGGGATCATCAAATTCACAAGTGCAGAATTCACCAGTGGAACAGATACCACCTTCATCAGCACACAGACCAAAACCAGAGCTGCTAAACTCAGCATCAGGTGAATTACAAAATTCAACTGACCAGTTAGATCAGTCCGAGCTAAGAAGAAATCCAAAAGACAAATCATTTAATAGTAGAAACAGGAGATTTAAGACTGCTGATACCTCATTTAATCATGAAAGCACTAGCGTCAAATATACTACATCAGATTTTAATAGAGGAGGACCGCAAAATAACCTGCAAAGTTACAGCAGAGGTGGTAGCAGAAATGGTAACAGTTTGCCACGCACTTTGACTCTTGAAAGTTTTATTACACCACAGAAAAGTACAAGGAAGAAAAATGGAGTCCCAAATGGCAAGAAAGATTTGGACTTGTTGCAAAATCGCTTTGTAGACCAACTTGCAGCCAATCCAATTTCTCCACCAAAGAAAATAAGGCCTTCGCCGGTTAAAAAACTTGGCTTTTTTAAACCAGCAGAAGTTGAAGGTGCTGTTTTAGAACAGGCTGTGGTGGATTCAGGTGACTGTCATCCCAATGAAAGATTAAACAGCAATCATGAGCAACCTCATCGTCTCCAGAAAAAGATGGATTTTAGCAGAGATTGTGGTACTACTGTACAATTTGCCCCTAGACAACAAAAAAGTAACATCGTTGAAAACCAGACAGAAATCGTGGACTCTACTGAAATTAAAGGTGGGCCTGTCTTTTCCTTGCGGAAAAGTCTTAAAAATTCAAATAGGAAAGATGTTTTTATAGAAGATGCTGAGGAGGAAGCTGAATATTCTGCGAAAAATGATGGTAGTGAAGCCAAAGCTTTCTGGACACCAAAACCTGTAAATAAGAGACTACTTGCACAGACCAGGTAAGGAGAAACATTGGAAATCTTGTCTATCTGTAGTCTCAGAGCACTGTATCTTTGAGTTCTGGCAATCAGATGTGCTGGACTTGATGTGTGTGTGTTTTTTTAAAGCCTGTTTAGTCTGCCAGGTTTTGGATCCAGATTTTTCATTGCCTGTGGTTTAATTGAGATTTAAGCTCTTTTATCTTTGCTTGTGAAATGTAGTCATTATTGTCCAAACTCAAAAGAAAAAAACAGGCACTGGAAATAAGATCTTTTGACAAAGTTCCTTGGTATATCATACAGAGACCACTTTAAAAAATATTTAAAATACACTGGTACCCTGGTATGTGTCTTTAATTCCCTGATCTTTGGATATATACCAAACAAGACATATACTAAATGAATTTTCACATAAGGAATAAAGGGAGAATTATTGTTATTGGCATGTTATACATCGCTGGAGTTTTACAAAATAATATAAACACAGCTCAGTACTAGAATACTTAAGTTTGAGGTTTTGAACAACGAATCAACATCATGGCACACAATGTAACTCAAGTCTGAGTCCGAAGAAGCTCAGCACAATGCCCAAGCTCTGTAGCAAGGATCCTAAAATACTTTGGGTAGATTTTTAACTTAAAATTTTGCATAGGCAGCGCCGTTAGGCTACTCTTTTTGATTTCCAGCTGCCAAGGGATTTTTTACGTGCGCAACAATGCACATGGGCGTCTGATTTCACTACCCAGAGACCAGGGGGAATTACTAAAAGTCCAAGTCCGTGTGAAAAAATCCCAGCCTTTACCGGGGATTGAACCCAGAACCTCTAGCACACGAGGCGGACACTATGCCTTGAGACCACCCAGCCCCCTAGTACTAAAATACATGAATACTAAAGCAGTTAATAGAAAAAATATTAGTTGAAGTAAATGAACATTCAACCTCACATTACTTTGCTGAGAAGAGACACCATTGTTTGGAATGAGAGTCCTCTTCCAATAAAACTTTAGGGATCTGAATTTATTTATTTTTTTTGCGGTTTTTTCTATCTTTTATTGCTAGCTGGACATGGCTGAGGCTCATCAGGTTTGATGTCTAATAAAAAATCTGTCCAAACATCTTTGCTTTTTCCTTCTCGGAAATGTGACATTGTCTGTGCATTCCATACAAACCAGTAGTGGTTTTGTTTGGGTAACACTTTTCTAGAAAATCATTGACATCCATTTGGCAGATATTTCCTTGATTAATGAGAGGGTTACACAAAGTTAGTTTGATGTGTCCCGTTGCATTTAGACTCATACAACTTCTTGTATGAGAATCGTAATCCAAACAAAGCAGATGTGTACTAAGGTACGAGTGTAAAGTGAAAGATAGTTTCATAGTAGGTACTATTGCTCCAGTGTGTGAAGTGTTAAGCCTTCATATATTGTAGGCCATGGTATATTGAGGTGAGTTGATCAGTTCCACACTGTCTTTCTTTTAAGACAGTTCCCAGACAGTTTTATTTGTTTAGTGGTCATTTTTTTAAAAGTTTTGGTCAACTGCAGAGCTATCCTGGTCAGAAAAAAACACATGCTTTCCTAGGGATTGAGCCCAGCCAATTGTCCTAGTGGGCTAGCACACTAACTATTATTCCATCATGTTATTTACTACAAATGCCTCTTTTTGTCAGAACTTGAATTTTGTGTGCACATCAGTTTTCCAGCTGTGGCTTATTTGCACTCTGACTTTGAAGAAAACAATTAGTTGACTTTTACAACTTAATTGTTAGGGGGGCTGTGAGTCTGTACATTTTCCCCCCTCCACAATGGGGCCCAGGAACCTATATTGGGACAGTGGCCAGTATTATGCTGACCACCTTTACCTCCCAGAACTCCCTGTGTGGGTTCCGGGGCTCTACTATGGAAAAAAACAAGAATAGTCCCACTGCCTACCCAAAAGCAAGTCGTAAGAGTCGACTGATTGAGAGCTTCCTTCGAAGTCAGAGTGCATCTGCCTGAGAGGCAAGGAACCAACAGTCTGCATACAGATCTGTCAAACGGATGCACACGCAACACTCAGGTTCTGGAACAAGACTGCAGTCCAGAAGTGGAGGCACAACCAGAACTTTCCACCGGAGTTTACAGCCGATGAACGTGAAGAAGAAGAAGACTTCCCAGAACATTTCCTGTTGCTCATTTTAGGTGGGATTAACCTAGATGTGCAGGCCAGTGTTTTTTTTTTTTTTTGGTTTTTTTTTTAAAATCTCAGTCTTGAGGTGGGTTCAAACTTCTGAATATCAAGTTGACAGGCAAGCGTACTAGTCATTATTTAACCGCAGGTTCCTTGTAAATGGTCATAAAAGTAGAGGACCCTTTTCCTGCACCTTCAGATGTCATGGGTATGTAGGGCTGGACCTATATTTTATAGACCATTGATCACTTAGTGTGTGATGTCAGCTTCACACCGGTGGTCTTTACCTCCTAGGACTTTACCTGGCACCCATTTAAGGCTGGGTCGACTTAGGAACCAAAGTCATTTTTGAAAAAGTCAGGCTTTATCAGGACATGAACCCACGACCTTCCATCCATCTTACCGCTACACCCTGGCAGCTCCCGCTTGTAAAATATAGTGCTTTAAAATTCATGAATACACCAGTTAAAGTTAGTTGACTTACAGGACTGGAAAGAGAAAAAAAAATCTTGCATAAATGTAACAGAATTAATTTCATTTGACCATGTACTTTTGAAAACAATTTCAGTGCAAGTAAGTTACATATTCCTTGTGAATCAGATGATGACGATGAAATTTACTGCTTTGCGAATACACAGTCTGCGACTTCAGCATGTGGTCAGCCAGTTTTATCTGCTGCGAATAATGACCCTGGCGATTGTGGGAAACAGCCTTCTTTGTCCAGGGTCATTTACAAACCAGTATTGAGGAAATATGCGAGACGTTATTGTCATTATATTGAAGGTATGTAAACGGTAGGACACTGCAGGATTTTATTGTACCATTGAAGTTAATTAATGAGGCCTTGACTTGCTTTGCTAAAAAAAAAATCACGTCCAACCTGCATCCTCTGAAAGGGGGAGGGGGGGACTATTAGTTAAAATTGTGACTAGGTTTTTGTGCACCATATACTAAGTTTTTGTGCACCATAAAATATGGCTTAGCATTGCTCAGCACCAAGTAGTCCTGAAAAGGACTCTTGCAGTGTTGATACGATCAGCAGAGACAGACCCAGATACTGTCCTGACTGAGACAAAGCCTACACTGGCCAGCCAATGGGCAACCCGGTCGTCAATGAATTAATAAGGTGCAGAAGTGTTGATATATATGCAAGGCTTTGGTTTCTTCGTGATCAGTACCTGCATGCATGACATCCTGGACATACACTAATCTTGTCAGCAAGAGGAGGATCGACTGGCTCGCTAGCGCAATTGGTTAAACCTGACTGCGTGGCGACCCAGTGACGAACTCCTTGTGGTCTGGGTTCATTCCTGGCAGTACGCAGAGAAGCTACATTTCTCCCAGATTTACAGTATCTATCATAGAATCAAAGCCGAAGGGTTGCGATATCCATAGTACTGAGCCAAAGGGTTATCATATCAAGTCATGGTTTTTGGATATTTAAAAAAAAAATCTGCAGTCAAGCTCAGGACTACACATTTTGCATGACTGCCTTAGAGTTTCAGCAGTGCTTCATGATGATGGTAGGCAATCAACACCCATGTTTTGCACTCACTGCTCGGAATGAGTGTGCTGCTAACCTTATGGTTATCACCAGTCCCCGATCCTAAAAGTTGTACAGAAGTGAACAGCTCAAACTAGATACTGTTTTACAGCAGCGTTTATGTTTTTGTTATTAAAAGAATCTTAGAATAGTTAGAGAAACTATATTTGCTGCTCTAAAAAACATCTTAGGAAATTATCAAGCTGCTTGTATCTGCCACAAAGTCTCTTTATGATAAATAATTAAAAAATATATACTTTTTTTCACTGAAGGAAAAAGGAGGGAGGAGGGGGTATAAACATGTTAGTAAAATTACTATTTAGTATCTTAGGGCATCTTATAGGACGTCATCGCTCAGTGGTCAGCATCACATCCATCTTTTACTTCCCAGGATAATATCTGGTCACCATTCTAGACTGTCAACCCAGAAGGGTAACTTTAAAGATCTGCCTTGATAAGAAGTCAAACTTGTGACCAACAGGCAGGTAATGAAGCAGGCATGTAGGGGTAGATGGATGGATAGATTCGATTAGATTAGATGTAGATGTGAGTTATTTGGTTGTTTTATGCTCATTTTTCTGAAAATAAAATTGTGTCAATGCCAACAGAACATCAAGTGCCAAATATAGCAGTGGAGCTGTATTTTGTGATTCAGCTGCTGACTTGTTCAGATGTGGACACAGACCTGCTCAGTTTCTATGGTAAGTTCTGTAGTTCATTAAATTATCCACATGATCATGCACATAATAATTTTTGATTGCAAATATTGAAGGCTTGTGTTTTATTTAATAGAAACAAATACAGTCAAATACAGAGGTTCTGGTGACATTTTGAATAAAAAGAGAGCTGTCTGAAATAAATTATTTAAAAAAAAAACTGAAGTATTTCGGCCACATTAAAAGACATTTTTTTTACAGAAAAAAAAAAACAGGTGAAACATTTTGGCCTTGTTAGAATTTTTGTTAACCCATAATGGAGGGAATAGTCTATAGCAAGAGGTAGACAGAGATAAAATTGGTAGTACCTCAACAAAAAATTAACAACAGTCTGAAAGAGTGTACAACACCAGGATATGAGACAAGAGTATATTGGAGATTCATAGTGGATATGGCACTTGATTGATTTGAGGCCTGTACAGGCATGAGTTTAATATTGTTCTTCCATTATTGTTTCATAACATCATGTAGGTCCTTTACTAAATATTACTCATCATTACCAGCTGAAAAAAACAACTTTCTTTGATTATCTATAGGACTTGAATTACATGTAACATTCCCCTGGTTTATTTCAACTTTATCTTCTGTTTGTACATAACTCTGGGTCACATTCTAAATTGCCTTGTTTTGTGTGGCTCAGAATATGCATATCATTATTCTAAAAGAATGGCCATGTGGTTTCCAGGGGCCCATTGTGGGGAAAACAAGAACAGACTCACTGCCTCCCCGACAAGCATGCCCTAGGAGTCGACTAATTGGGGGCTTCCTTCAGAATTGTGCATCTGCCTGAGAGGCAAGGAACCAGTAGTCTGCATACAAATAATCCAGGTCTGTTAAACAGATGTACACGCAGCACTCAAGTTTTGGAACAAGGCTTAAGTCCAGAAGTAGACAAACATCCAGAACTTTCCACTGGAGTTTACAGCCGGTGAATCCGAACAAGAAGATTATTCTAGAACTTACTGCTTGTCACTTATAAGTGCTTTCTCTGCCTCTTCATTAAGAAAAATTCCCTCCTTTACTGTCCGGGTCATTTTTTTTTCCTCTATGCCCTAAGAGCAAGACTGTTTCAGGTTTGTTTATAAGCTGTTTGCCTGCTCCATTCCATCTTGTTTTTCATAATCCAAGATGGTCTATGTGGTGAAGTGGTCAAGCTGCTAGCCTTGTGCTCTTAAGGTCTTTTGTTCTTTTCACGCCACACCATTTGGTTCACGACTGCAATTTTATTGAGACCCCTGGGGATCGTCGCTGGAGCTATGGTTTTTGTGCTGTGTGCAACACTTGGCAGATGGCTGGTCGTTCTGCAGGGAAAAACTGAGCCGTATGGGATAAAACAAGTCAACTTTTAACTCTTTCATAACGCTGTAATGCTAATGTTATATTTCATTTCTCCCAGCACTTTTGCTGGCTTTTCCAATGTATATCTAGTAGGGGCTGAGTGGTCTCGAGGCATGGCCTCCGCCTCGAGTGCTAGAAGTCCCGGGTTCAGCCCCTATTTGAAGGCTGGAATTTTTTTAACGTAGATTTTCCCTGGTCTCTGGATTAGACGCCCGTGTGTATTGTTGTGCGCGTAAAAAAAGTAGCCTGACGGCCCTGCCCGGGCATAATTCGAGTTAAAAATCTACCCAAAGTATTTCAGGATCATTGTTGGTGCTAAGGAGTTTGTACATTGCGCTGAGATTCTTCGGACATGCTTGAGTTAGAAGTAGAATGGAGCACTTGTGGGTTACCACCCTTGTGCCATGATATTGATTCATTGTTTAAACAGAAACAGATATCTAGACCTAACACTCCGGTGCCGAATGTGGAGTTTTTGCTAGGTGAAAGAAGGTAAGTTGGCAGTCCGGATCCCTTTTGTCTTGGTTAGCTAAGTTATTTTGCTTTTCTTTTGATTAGTTTGCAGTTAGTTGGATTTTGTAGTTGCAGTTTTCCTGTGGAATGGGCAGTCAGTCGCATGATTACCTTCATTAGTCACCTGTTACAGCATGCATGGCAGTTTTGGTGTTATATTCTTTGCTGCCCTTTTAAACCTTAAAACCACACAGGGAAACAACTTCATGCTGATGCATACTTCTGATTTCCTTTCCAAACACAGATAAACATGGTAAAAAAACATATTTTCGCTCCATCCACAATGGTGTTTACTTTGCAGTCATTGTCATAAAGAGGTTGAAATAGTAAGTACTAAATCTAACTTTTTTTTTTTAAATTTCCTAATTATAATCTGTTATATGTTTTGTTGCTGGCATGTGTAAGTTACATTGTGTCCTTTTTGAACTAAGCCTAACACTGTCGTCCCCATGTGGGATACAATTTTGCGTTATTTTGAATCCCCACCCGGGAATTTGCAGGGGGCCACCACAATATAGCCTGATGACTGAACAGTGTTTCTGGAACCTCTCCACAGGTGATCCTCTTCGGCATGGTGGCACATTGTGTCACCGGGTGTTTATCACTCTGTGTGTGATGTCCTGGTGGGGTAAAATTTACTTACTTACTTTTGAACTAAGCTGAAGACACCACAAGATTAGAGAAACAATCTAAGGCATCACCTAGAACCTGATTTTAAGAGATTACTGCAACAGAAAAGGCAAACTTACTGGCTGTGTAGCTGGAGAGCTTCTCTTCAGAGAGCTTATCAGATTGTATTGAGAAATGGCCAAGGACACATTATAGTCTTACTGACTTATCAAGTAATCTGGTAATCTTAGTTTTAGCTTCATAGCAAACGGGTCACCCCATAGTTGCTCCGCTCCTGTGCCAATGAAAAACACACAGAATGTTTATCACAGTCCCTTGTGGAAAGATTCACAGACTGCTGTCTCAGCGTATCTAGCTTACACACGCATTAAAAGCATACTGTAGCCATCCAAAGTGCTAACACAAACAGTCCGACATTAGAAATGCAGTCCGAACATTAGAAATGCAGTTCATCATGGATGGTAGCAGAAGTCACCAACAGATAAGCAGTTGCACACGCTATCAATTTTAATCACATAATGGTACCACCAATATTGCAAAACAGGCATCTTGAAATCTGCAGCTCACAGTGTCACGCCATGCACTCACAGTCGGAAAACATTCCAAATGAAATCCGCAGCTCACTAGTGTCACGCCATGTCTACAAATCGGTAGCAGGCGAAAAACCATATCATTTCACTCAAAATGGAGTGGCCATGCCTAGCGTCCATTTTGACCGGAAGTCAAGTGCTTTGATTTATTGACTTTGTAGACCATATTGCATCTTTACAGTTTGCAGTCTTCAGCAGTGTTGTGATTCAATTGTATACAACAGGATAATGATATCAGGTACGATCTGTAGAACTTGATGCTACCAGACATGATGACTGCATTGAAATGCCCATTATTGAAGTTAATTAGGTCAAGTTTGTTGTGAAGCATGTTTTACATGGGATCAGTAGAGTGGTGGGTTCCTCTTTTTTTTTTTTCCCAGAGGGTTTTTGTATATGCTCCAGTAGCCTTTACCCAAACAGTGTTGTTGTTGTTACCTTTCTGCCTTTTCAAACAAAAGTGTTATATTAATGCTACAGAGAGGCCTGGGAATTACAGCACATGACTAGCAACATCCGCTCGCATTGCAAAATGTCTTCTACAGATGGTACATGGGATTTCAGGACCATTGTTGTCATTGCATGTATTTAAACCCTTTCACCCTGGTAACACTTTAAAAAAAATGATTGCTTAGCCCAGTCTCACCTCAGTTGCCACTTGGTGTAAACACACTCTCATGGATGGTAGATAGCATATACAGCCTATCTATCTTTCTCCTATGGCTCTCTGGCCATTACTATCACAAAGCATGATAATTTCTATTATACAGAAAATTATTCTAAAAAGAGATTTTACTAGATCATTAAATCCAGATCACTTCAATTGAAATGTCTGTGCTTGACCAGGCCATTACCTGGGGTCAGCATGCGTGTATCTCATGTTTGGGCCCATCTTGTCCACTACCTGCATTAACTCTAGCTTGTCCCTTTATTGATCTAACAGTTACCTCCTTATCTGCCTATCTAAATATTTCACAGTGTGACAACCCCCTAAATTTTGCACAGTGCAAAAATGACACTAGCTTTAACTGTGCTTGTTCTAAACAGCTCACTGTAGAAGTGTTGGAAGAGTGACATTTAAGGGAAATCGGACCCTGTCAGGAATGTCAGTTTTGCAGCTTCTCATGGCGAAAGGGTTAATGTGCTTCTTTTCAGATGCCAGCTTCTCGACCTATCTGCAACCATCTCTGTAAAAGACACATTGATTTTGCTGGCCACCTATACTTCACAAATAAAAATATGTTTTTATTTCAGTTTGTTTCTGGCTTTAGACAAGATGTACTTGGAGTTGTTAACTGCCTGCCCACGAATTGAAGCCTTTTCTCCCATGTTACACAGATTTCTTGTGCAGGCAGTTAAAAATAAAGAAAATGTAAGTTCTTATTATCTTTCAAATCTGTGACAGTTAAATTAACGACATTTATAGATGGGTTTACTAACAGTTGTTTCAGCCTATTCATTCATTATAACACAAAATCCTATTGCTTGTGATATTTTGATGATTTTCACATAATTTTGGCCGCAGATAAAACTACGGCTGGTTGAATGTGACAGTTCTCTCCCCCCCCCTCCCCCCCCCCCCTGCCCCCTCTGCAAAGCACCTACCTACCTGATTAGGAGTTAGGAAGCAGTTGTATAATTCTGGCATACTGGGGTTCGAATCAGCTGCAGGTTTTTTAGCAGTAGACTTGATTTTGACAATGGTATGACAATTGAAATTTCTAGAAGGCCATGACAGACTCATCACTTTCATATTCAAGGAGTCGCTTATATCATGTGCCCATCTTCGTGTTGGTCGACCCCCTGCCCCTCATTCCTGTTACCATGCCTTCTGTTATTTATTTTTTTTTCAATTCACTGTGGTGCTTGATATGACCAAAATACTGCCCCTCATTCCTGTTACCATGCCTTCTGTTATTTATTTTTTTTCAATTCACTGTGGTGCTTGATATGACCAAAATACTTCAGCTTCGAAGAAAAGATGCTGTTTATTAACCAATCTTCCTTGACGTTCAGATGTTTTAAAATGTCATTATTTCTCCTCTTTGTCGATGCTATTTTGAAAATCTGTCTACAGAATTTCAGCTCAAAGGCCCCTATTTTCTTTCTTAAGGCAAGATGTATGCTCTCAGATTTTTTGATTTCCTTGCTAGTGCTTAACCATGGACTTTTAATGCTGTTTAATCTTTGCATTGCTACATTGCTATGGTCGTCGTCCTTTTGATTTCTGTCATTCTCCATTGCTGTTATAGAGCCTAGATATTCAGAGTTTGTGACATAATAACAAAAAAACGTCCAATGTGGAATTGCCTAGTGGAACCACAAACAGGCAATAAATGTTGAAGTTAGTTTCTTTCCTGTGAAGCCTAGGAATCCAACTTAAAAAAAAAAAAAAAATACACATATCACACTGCATATGCATTACTGTCTGCATTATGTCATTGTTTGTGTATAATATTCTAATGAATATTATTCTAGCTTCTGTACAGTATTTTTCTGTATAAATGCATTAATTTTTTACTGTACACACAGAGAGACATCATGATCATCATCATCAGGTGGCTTGCCGACTGGCATGGGCGATCATGCATCTCCACAGTCTGTGATTTTCAGCAGCTTGGAACAGTCCATGTGTTGATACCCCTCCATGCCCTGACAAAAGACTGTCAGGAATCGTCTTGTGTTGTCTTCCTCTGTCTTTTTTTTTCCCACAGATCTTTTCAGTAGTTACAATATGTTTCAGCTTCCTTTTGTCTTATAGCAAAATGTGGTCTTTTTTTTTTTTGTGTTTGTCTTTGAGCCCTCATATCTTTCAAAACATCTGGGTTGCTCTTTATGGCTGTCCATTTTAAACCACATTATATCAGGCCTCGAGAAATTGTTTGATGTGTTTGTTAATTGTTCAGGTTTCACAGCCTGAGCTTAAGACTGACTCTGTTTAGCTGTAAAGAGACAACATCACACTAAATAAATTACATTTTTGTTAACAGTGTAACTTTGTATGTTTTGCTTAATTAATTTTTCTTTTACAGGATTTGGTAGCTCCTTCGCCAGTTGAGCATATTTCATTCAACCCTCATGAAGATGGGGCTATGAGTTTTCCAGATTTGAATAATGCTCATGTTTTTAAGTGTCAGAGGTGGGTCTCACTGCATTGAGTGTTGTTTAGACTTTTAAGAGGATATTTTGGTTTCATAACTTAAAGGGATATGATTTATTAGGATTCGAAAAGAGATTTGTGTATCTCTCATCCAGTTTGTTTCTTTATACAGGGTTCGTAGCCGACAAGGAAACCTTAAATTAGCTGTGAAATTGTGGTCCTGACCAGGAGTCCTAATTTTGACCTTAAAAAAGACATTCTGACCTTGAATAGCCTTGAATTTTGACCGCCACAATAAGATCATGGGAAGTTCTGCGATTTTCGGCAGTTAGGCTTTTTTGTTGTTGCCATTTGGCTAGTGTTGGCTACTTTCTTTTACGGTTGTTTCAGGTATAAGGGCAGTTGATTATCAGCTATTTTCAGATGAATTGGATTGTTAAAGGCTAGGGAAGGGCGGGCTGTGTTGCAGCCCATGGATACAGGCAGACAGCAGCATGGGGCGGGAAGGAGCAACCGCTGTCTCATGTGTGTGTGCCTTTGTTTCTAGCAGGTCAAGCAGTATTAATAGTATAAATAGCTTAATGGCCATGGTTTCTAGAAACAAGGATTACATCGGGAGATGTTGGGGCTAAGCAAAGTGAAGTCAGCTGAATTTCCCAGTTCTATTTTTGGCTGGGTTTATCTTTACAGTGTGTTTAGTGATCAACACTGTAATTTCCCCATAGTTTCCCTCTTCTGTTCTATCCCCCCTACCCCCCTCTCTCTACACCAGTAGACATGCATGGCATCTCTAAGGTTGTCATCACACTCGGAAGGTACTGCAGGGATCAAATTCCTGCGGCGGTAGACACAGAAGTAAGGGAACTGATAGATCAGCATTCAGACCCAGAAGATACCATCATCTACACAGATGGATCCGTGAAGCGCGGATCAAGGTCAGCATTGGCATACACAGCGCAAAGAAATGGGAAAACAATACATGAGGACAGCGGCGCTTACCAGACAACCACTTCAAGCATGACAATGGAAATAGCCGCTGCTTCTAGAGCTTTAGCATGGGTATCCGAGCAAACCGCCACACAGGTAGTAATTGTCTCAGACTCAATGAATATGCTTCAGAAGATAGCAACAGGCAGTATGCGCTCTGAATGGATAGAAAGCATCAGGAAATCGTACTTAACCTCCGTAACCTGGATCTACACACCGGGTCATGCGGGCGTGAAGGGAAATGAGCGAGCAGACCAACTGGCAAGCACTGCACTAATGATTGCAGGAAAAAGAATGGACAGAGCAGACATAGTCAACGCTGTACGAACCGGGCTAGTGGAGAATGAGGAATCCCTGACACTAACACGATTGCGTGACATGGGAGTTAAGCATGGTGATGCATGTCTTTGCCGTCTTCGAGGCCGAGAAAGGAGACAATATAACCAGCTTCTCATGGGGACAATTAGTAGAAGTACTTTAGAGTGGCTGCTGCTTCGGAGAACTGAGCACGCATGGGTATGCCCAATGTGCAGTGACATTAATTGTGATAACAGAACATAAAATAACATCTTAGTAGGGAGTCGGCAGTACGAAACCCAAGTTCAAGGTGTCTCCTTCGTGCCAAAGAACTGCATGGCTGTTGGGTGAACAGTCGTTAACGATGGCAGGCAGGTCGTTGTAGGGGCGACGCCTGCTGGTGGATGTAATGTCCTAAGTCCCTTCCCCAGCTAATAATGAGGGTACTGCTGGGGTGACCGTTTATTAACCCTCATATAATTCTTCCGGTCAAAATGGACGCTAGGTACGGCCACCCTTTTTTTTTTTTTTTAAGCCGTGGCAAATATTTTTCCAGACGGTGGCCGTTGCATTTTTGCTCCATTTGTAGACTGGAAGGATGTAGTTTCGTCGCCCAGCTTCTGAGTTGAGTGCATGGCGTGACACTGTGAGCTGCGTTTGTTTTTCGTTGGCACAGGAGCGGAGCATATGTGGGGTGACCCGTTTGCTATGAAGCTGAAACTAGGATTACCAGATTACCCCTCTCTCTCCCTCTCGTGTGATCTTCATCATCTTCTTTTTCTCTCTATCTTTCCTTTTACTCTCTCATTTCCTTTCCCCCCTCCCCCTTTCTAATTTTATTTCTTCTTTAAATGTTTAGTATCCATAACTCTTTTCCTAGTAACTGTCAAGTACATAAGAAGTTGTGTTATGGTTGGGAAGGGGGGTGGGAGGTGTTCAGCATGAACCTGGTGGATATTTTCTTTTGATGTCAGTTTTATCTTTTTTTTTTTTTTTTGTAAGCGGGCCTTAATCTCTGTCCACCTTCCTACCTGCTCCTCTCTCTTTGTTTGTCACTGTCTTCCGCCCCATCTTTCTCTCCCTCTCTCTTGCTTTATGTCTGTTTGCCTCCCTTCATAACTTCCTCTTTGTATTTTTCTGGCCCATTCTCCTGCCCTGCCTTTTTTCTCTCTCTTTGGTTCTCTCCCACTGTCTATTTGCCTCTCTGTACTGTCCCTCTGTCTCTTCTTTATGTCTATGTCTCTCTCTGCATCTCCCTCTCTCCCTGTCCCTTCTCTTTCCCTCTGTCTCCCTTCTTCCAACTCTCTTTGTCATATTTTTTCTCCTTCCATATCTCTTGTTTCTTTCCCTTCTTCCTTCTCTCTTCATCTGCCCATTTCTGTATCTGCAATCCCACTTTCTGTATTTGTCTCCTTCTCTGTCTTTTGCTGTCCCTCCTACGTTCCCTCATCATGTCTCCATCCCTCCCTCTCATTGACACCTTTTTCCTCCTTCCCCCATCTCCCTTTCCCTTCTTTCCTCTACCTTCATTTGTCCATCTTTACACTGTCTCTCCCAGTCTACCTCAGCATATGTCTTCCTCCCTCTCTGTATGACTTCCCCCCCCCCCCCTCCCCTTTCAGGTACCAGGTCCAGAACAGACAGGACTTCAGTTTGCTACCTTCCACCACCAAGTCTAAAAACAAAAATTAAAAACACTATATCAAGCGCCACGACAGATTGGAAAAAATAATAGCAGAAGGCATGGTACCAGGAAGCAGAGGCAGGGGCCGACACGAAGATGGACACAGGATATAAGTGACACCTTGAGTATGAAAGTACACGAGGCGTGAGAGCTGGCGAGAGACCAAGTTTCTTTCAGGCAGACCGTGATAAGAGTGACATTCTGCAAAGGATCAGCTACACGATGATATCTGCGCTGGTAAACACACACGTGCGGCACAAATGAAGTACTTTGTGTGCTCGGTACACAACTGAACAAGGCAAAAATCTTGTTTCAAATTACACCGAGACAACCTTGAAAAAAAACTAAGGAGACCTTGAAATTGATTGGTGGATTTGGCTATGAACCCTGCTTATATTTAGGTCAGGTTTTAAATATTTATAGCTCCTTATGGGGGTTCCGGGGCCACATTGTGGAAAACAAAAGGACCCATCATACCTCACTAACTGTTAGGTTAACTGTGCAAAGACGGTCTACACAATCTTTACCAAAAGCCACCAAGTAGCAAGGAAGAATATTAACCTGAGGTTAGACAAACACCAAGTGATGAAAGAAGAGCATCCCACATACTTTGGAGTCACACTTGACCGGCAGCTCAGCCTCAAGAACCATATTGAAAACGTCAGGAATAAGGCATTGAGGTGGTTACAGTTATTAAAGAGACTTGCAGGCACATCATGGGAATCAGACAAGGAAACTCTGAGGGGCTTATATCTAGGATATGTTCGCTCTGTGATAGAGTACAACAACTCACTGCTTACAACCTGCTCCAAAACTAACCTAGAGACTCTTGACAGAGTACAAAATAATGCCCTCCGATTAATTTGCGGAGCTATGCAGTCTACACCAACTGCTGCATGTGAAATCCATACAAATGTGGAACCCCTCGGGTTGCGGAGAGAAAAAGTCACTTTAGAAATTTATGAAAGATGCATTAGGAAAAATCGTAACCATCCTAATAGACATCTTGTAGAAAACTGGGAATACAAACAAAGAATAAAGCACAAATCGGTTTTACACTGTGTTAATGAAATTCAGGACAGATACCACCTCCCAGAAAGACGTCAAGGAATTCAGAATGTTGCAAGAAACCTACCACCACATGCTCGCTTTAAAGCTCCAGAAGTCCAAACTAAATTGGTAGGCGAGGAAACCAAACAGTCCGACCCAATCGCTCTTATGAACTCATCACTAAAGACCGTTGATTCTTACCCCCAAGAATGGATACTTGTCTATACTGATGGATCAGCATTTAAAGCTACCATTAAAGCAGGTTACGGAATCTACATAGGTTATCCCGATGGATCTGTTGAAGAGATTTTTGATGCATGCGGGGAATTCTGTTCAAATTATGAAGCTGAAATAATTGCACTGGAAACAGCAGTTTACCACCTAAAGACTAATGGATGTTTACCCTTCAAAGGTCCAAAATATTGTCATCTTCACAGATTCAATGTCTGCTCTTCAAGCTCTGGAGGGCAGTGAACGCTGCAGAACTGACATAGCCAAGATAATCCTGGATGCTGATCAGCTTATTACCTCATACAACATCAGAGTAGTGATGCAGTGGATTCCAGGTCACTCCGGCACATCAGATAATGACAGAGCTGACAGATTGGCAAAGAAAGGAGCAACACAAGAACAACCACCTACAGCGACAACCCTCCAAACAGCAAAAACACTGATAAGAGCTATAAACAAAGAGACTTGGTTGAACAGATGGGCCATGGGAGACACTGGAAGAGAGGTTTATAGACATATGTCTGGCCCTGATCCTAATGACAGCATTAACCACCTAACAAGAAGGGACCAGGCCACCATCTTCAGACTTAGAACGCAAAATACTCCACTCAATGGACACCTAAACAGAATACAGTCACAACACTCCCCAGAGTGCCAGCTATGTAACTACCCCTACGAAACTGTTGAACACCATTTCTTTGAGTGCCCAAAACTCAGTGAGACAAGAAGAACGCTACTCCCTCCAAGACCAACTCAGTGAGACAAGAAGAACGCTACTCCCTCCAAGACCAGACAAGTGGAACACCTTGTACGGAGGAAAAGAACAGCTTGTGAAAACATACAAATTCCACTACATGGCATTGGGCCAAAGGGCGAAAGCTCATGCGCCGCTGGATCGATAACAACAACAACAACCTCACTAACAAGTATGTCGAAAGAGTCAACTAATTTGTGGTTTCCTTCTATGGTGGAGTGCATCTACCTGAAAGGTGAGGAACCAACAGCCTGCATACAAATAAGCCATATTTGTAAACCAATGTGCTTGCAGCTCTCAAGTTCTAGAACAGGCTAAAGTCCAGAAGTGGGCGAACAACCAGAACTTTTTCGCTGAAATTTACGGGAGGTGAAGATGAAAAGATGAAATATGTAGCTTAGCTGTTAGTTTTCTTGATCAGAAATGACTGAGCTACCATATAACAGTAGTCATGACTACCTGTTCTCTACTGTCCAGATAAATTTAAGAGGGGTGAAGAAGTAAGAAAAATGACTGGGATCCACTGATATCAACAGTTATAGGACAGAGGAGATGATACTGTATAGGACACATCCTGTGGAATCTTCTTTGCTGATCTGCATCCAGATTGAGATTTTAAAATCTATGTTAATATCTGAGAAATTGTCATGGCTCTTTGCAATTATAGACCCTGAGACACTTTTCCCACGCCTTTAGCCATATTGGACAAATAGGGCTAGACCTATATTTTATATATAGACCAATCAGCACTTGATGCATGATGTGGTCCGCATCATGCCCGCTGCCTTTACTTCTAATGAATTCTCCTGGTACACATTTAAGGCTGGGTCAACCTCGGAGCCCAGCTCCTTTTTGAAGAAAAAGTTCCATCAGGTCCTGAACCCATGACCTTCTGATCCACAGGCAAACATCTAGCTGCTTCACCATGGCGGCTCCCTTACAATTAGGAATCAACTAAATACATATAATTTTAAATGCTGTTTTGTTTTCCCAGTTCTTATGAATATATCAGAAAGCTGTTTACCTATATTTTGTTTTTTGATGAAGTTATAAATATACTACAGATACATATTTTATCTACAACATTGTTTTGACTGCAGGGACAACTTCTATGCCTTCTACCGCCACTACCATGATACCAGCAGTGCTTACGAGTTCCGTATAGAGAATCAGATCCAGTATGTCTACGATGGCTGCACCCCAGAGCAGAATTCTGTCGTGAATCTCATGCATTTGGCAAAGTTATATCTGGATCATATGATTCTGGTGAGTTTGTGGATATTAATGGGTGTTCCCCCCATGTAGGAAAAGTAAAGTATAAGACCATTGTGTACATGAGTATGCCGCAGGTATGTGGTGCTAGACTTATATTTGTCTAGTTAAAAAAAAAAGTAAAGGACCCCTTTCCACGCCTTTAGGCATATAGGGCTAGACCTATATTTTATAGACCAGTCCGCGCAAGATGGGTGATATAGTCAGCATCACGCCGGATATTTGTCTAGACAGGTCATTATCCAGTGGGTGATGTGATCAGCATTTGGGGCACATACTTATCCCCCATATCAGACACTCGCACTGACGCAAGCACCAGCAGGCAAGCATGCACACATATGATGGAACAGTCATTTAGCACTCATTGTGTTTATTTCACCTCGTCATGCTGTCTCCTGACCAGGTAGTTCTTCTTTGTTTGCCCTGAAAAGGATGGCTGGACAGTGGTCTACAGCTAGGCTGCAATATCTTGTCCTTCCGCCCAACATGTCCAGTTCCAGTAAGTCCTTAATTAGTCACCTTTTCTTTCATGACATTCTTTCTAAGGAGAGGCAATAGGTCTGTTCTACCCTGTTTACCTTTTTCTTATATCTACAGAAAATGAACTCAACACAGCTAAGAAATGTTGTGTATTGATTCTTTTGGTAGTATTCTAACAACTGTTGGCTAAACAAAAATAAGAGAATCACAAAATGTTTGCAAAGAATAGTTACAGCTTCCTACGGAGGTGTGTTAAAAGTTGAGAAAAGCAGTAACAAACAAACCTGATGAATAGGCAGTTTGAAATCAGTATTTTAGCAGTTTGTTAGCTGGTTTGATTCTGTAACTCAGCTTGTTTTGGTGCTGTAACTGCAAATTTGAGATCAGGTATGCATATTTTGTGTGACATAAGTCGTAGTTCTACATTAGGCTTAATTGTCTCTATTACTGTTTCAGTGCTGTGTGAAGCAGACAGGAGAGCAAGTTGATGTTGTAAAAATGATCCAATCCAAGGGAGAAGATGAAAAACTGTTCACATCGTAAGTACTGTGCTTCTTTGTCTTGTTTTCAAAATGCTCAAGGGAAAATATTATGCTAAATACATTTCATAAATAGTGAAGTTTTCAAAAACTGGAGCTAAGGAATATTGAATATGACATAGCCGTCATTCTCAACCTAAGATCGCAAGGTTGGCAGGCATTTGTACTTTCACTATCTCTATAGCAATTCTGTTGTTTTAATACGGTTTATATAAAGTGCATTTTTGAATAATTTTGGTCCACAAGCAGGATGATGTGTATGAAAGTCGATAAACTCTGCTAAGATAATATCAGAGATGTATAGTGACTGGGATTTTTTTTTTTTAAACCTTTAATATACCTAACCTGCAAAGAAAACAAATGCATTGCACGAATGACATTGCTTAAAATGCCTACAACAATATAGTGCTTGAAATGCCTACAGTAATTTTAGCTTGATTTGCACTCAGTGATATATTGTTTTAATTGCCCACGGTAGCAGATTAATTGAAATGCAGTAAACAGTTTTGCTTTAATTTAAGCAAAATAATGCTTAAAATATTTGCATACATGTGTCTTTTCAGGTTGTACGAAGTGTTCCTAGAGACATCCTGTACTAGCTCTGCCTGCCCTTCTCCAGGATTCTCTGAGAGGCAGATGTTCTTTAAAGATTTCATTGAAACTTTGAGTTGCCCAGCATTCAATGAACATTTGAGAAACCTTGTGGTGTTGAGAATTCTGGAGGTTTGTAGATATGCTTCCTGTGTGGTCTGATTCTATCACTGGTTTTGTTGTATTAATTTTAAAATGAATGCCTAATGCTGATGTCATTGTATTGTTTACTTAATTAACTCAGCCTTAATATGATAGCCCCAGGTCGACCCAGCCTTGAATGGGTACCAGGTAGAGTTCTGGGAAGTAAATGTTGCTGGCGTGATTCTGGCCACATCGCCCACCAAGTGCTGTTTGGTCTATAAAATATAGGTCTAGCCCTATATACCCAATACGCCTGAGATGTGGAAAAGGATCCTTTACTTTACTTACTAATATGCTAGCCGAAACTGCTTCTCTTTGGTATATCACTTGTATACATTTATGATGAAATGAAAAAGAATTCCTAGATAATAAGTTTTCTGTCCTACTTTTGGTTGCCTTGGCAGTGCCAGACTGAATGATTTCACAGGCTAGACATTCCCACCCCTGATTTATATATTCATATTAATTATTTGGAAGAATTTTCTACGTTATAATTGAAAAACAGGACATTAGACACGTTCTTACACGCTTTGTATATGCAGAATCTGTAGTCTGATATTAAGTGTTTTATAAGTTCGGTGCCATCTCCACAATGAAGGTTGACTACAGTGTATCACTGGTGCCTTTGGGAATATTACATGGTAAGGCTTCAGTCTCTTTCACAGTGCTATTCTCTTACCATTGTCCGAAAACCATGAGAACAGATTTCTCCCGTCCACAGCGGGGAATGAACCACTGTGCTCGAGGGTCGTGAAATTGTTAATCGCCTTAACTAGCCTCTAAGCCATGGGGCCACACTGTAAGTGTCTTAATTGTCAATAAAATAATGCAAATTTACATCTGTGTCTTCAGTAACTTGCTTTAAGTTTTAGGTTTAAAATTTATCATTTCCATTTGCTTTGCAGCTGAATGCAACAGATTTCAGCACTGTGATGAATCTCCATTCTGCAGTCACTGTACCTGATGATAAGGTCAGTTGCTTTTCTCTTCCTCTTCTTTCTTCAATTCCTCCTCCTTATCCACCTCTTCCTCCTCCGTCTTTGAGAGAGAGATAAGTGGGGAAAATATGATTTTTCTACCACGATGAGCCAAGGGTTTTTCTTGGTACAAAATTTTTTATTTATTTTAAGATGTAATTACAAGGTATGCCACCCCGTGGAATGTGTTCGTAAATCAGATGTACCCACTCATAAGATAGCTTAAGCTAAATTAAGGAGTTGAAGGAGTGGTATTTACTCTATAACATAAATCACCCCCATGATTGTGTTGTTGGCATACTAAAAATATACTGGAATTGCAGAATTACAACAAAGTTAGCTGCTTGAATACCCTATGCTGAAAAAAAATTCTTAATTAGGTTAAGAAATTCTGACAAATAATAATAATTCTTTTTTTTTTGTGTGTGCTTAGAATTTGACCACATACACATTCTTTACATCAACAAAAATGTCAATTTGTCAAGCGCTAGAAGATGCCTTTGGTATTACTTATGAATACCAATGATGTGCAGTGCTGGCTTTTATAATTGAAAGTTAGTGCCAACAGTGAGCTGAAGTTCTAGTATGGCACCTTTAATTTCCGCACATCTGACAGGCAGTTAGCTGTCTTATGCATTTTTACTTTGCATGTGTAAGCGTAACGACTTTGCTGGGACTGACACTTGTTTTCAGATAGGACAGTGAAGAACATTTTATGTGATTTCCACAGGCACAAGAATGGAGCAGTACAGGTTGACCCCTGTGCAGTGATGTTGGAAACTTAACTAACTAATATGACCCCATTGTTCCCTTTTATGGTGCTGTCATGCAAGGAGTTAGCTAAAACTAGATGATTCAGTTTATTCTGTTTTGGGTAGGAGTCATCAAAGAACAAAGAATGAAGTGGTTTGGACACCTAACAAGAATGCCCTGGTACTATCTGCCACAGCGAGCCACACTAAAACGTTACAATGGGTATAGAGCGAGTGGAAGACCTCGGAAAACATGGAGTGATGTCATTAAGAACAGCCTTACAGAAATGAACATCAGTCTTAATAGCGCTCTTGACAGAGCTCATCAACGAACATTACATCTCCCCCCGACACTTCGATGAGGTACAAGGTGGAAGAGAAGAAAAAGTAGAAGGGTAGGAGTCAAGAACCTACTGAGTTCTAATAGTCTCCTTCAAACCTTACTGCATGTTCTTCTATTACTGAAAATAAAACACAGATATTATTTCACATCTGTCTTCTACCATCTTCATGTAGTGAAATATTCCTTTGATATTTTCATAGGGGTACTAATTATTATTGAATTGGCTTTTTGTTCCATGTGGGTTCCGGGGCCCATTGTGGGGAAAACAAGAAGAGACCAAACTGCCTTCCCAAAAAGCATGTTGTACTAGCCGACTAATTGGGGACTTCCTTCAAAATCGGAATGCATCTGCCTGAGCGGCAGGGAACAACGAACTGCACACAAATAAGCCAGTAAAACGGATGTGCACGCAAACCTCAGGCCCTGGCACAAAGCCAAGTCCAAATGGACGAACAACCATGACTTTCCTCCTGAGCTTACTACTGTCCGTGAACGAAGAAACAGAAACAGGCTTTTAAATCCCTAACGACACACCCATATCAGAATCATAAATCAATGTGTATGTGTTCTGATTGTCCTCATAGGATATGATTTTTTTTTGGTGTGGGGTAAGATATATTTGTATATTTTTCTGCGTGTAGATTTCCTTTTTATTTTCATTTATTATGTTACCATTTAGAAAAAAAAATGAATTTGGTACTTTTTTTCTGTGTGAAAATTTTAATATTTTTTAAAAATCATGCTACAGTGTACAATAAAACATCGATTGACCTGAATTTGTCTTAGACGCTGCTTGTTCTTCAACATTAAAATATTAACTTTTTTCATTTACAATACCAGTTTTATAGTTTAAAAAATTACATTCACCTGATTGTTTTTCCTCAGACACCGCTGAGAGCAGGAAAGTTTACAGAAACCTTGAAAACACTTTGTTTGTTGGGGAAGTTACTTGGCTACTTGACTTTCTACCCCTACTCATCAGGAGCACAGAATATTGCTCATGATCAGATGCCTGGGTTATTGGCAATGAGAGAAATGGTGAGTTGTGAATATTTTTAGTTTTCATTTTATTGTGTCTAAAGCGTTTATAATACCAGTCCTCGGTAAAAAAGTATTTTTATGTGTAAACAGTAATTTTACAATATGCTCTAAAATTAATTTGTTCTATGTAATGATCATCAACAAAATTAATGTCATCAGTTGTAGTGATCCATAGTATCAAGAACATTCAAAATTTCAACGCATTAACAGTGCAGATTTGATCACTAAGATAGTAGAAACAAAAGAATCATGGCGTTAATCTAAGACTTCTCTGGTAAGATGTACAGTGTAACAATCGACTATCTGATTTTGATTTTTAATTTTAAAGAATTCATTTTTTATGCAACATTGTATTTTTATATAAATTTTCCATAGTATGCAATAGGCTAGATACAGCAAAATATGCCAAGCAGTGAATTGTACAAGATATTATTTGTGTCCACGGTATTTAAATTGATTCATTGTAATTGTACAGCTTGACTACAGCTCCAAAGTGTTTGTTATAACAGTTACATATGCTTTTTTGTCAGAGTCCCAGTTCCTGTTCCATTGTTGCTGCTTCTGAAGCAGGCATTTGCTCAAGGCCGACTTTGTCTAACTGTCCCATGGGTGGTAGAGTACCTTGCAATGATGGATCACATGGCACCACAGTTGTCATTATACAGTGATGTGTTGAGGAAGCTTCACTTTATTCAGAGGTATCTTTAACATAACAACCTCATTACATGATTTTTCTGTATAGTGTGGCATTTTACATTTGTTAGACCTTACCAGTGTTTGGCTATAATTTTTCTGTGGCATTTAACATTTGTTAAAAGCTACCAGCAATGTTCAATCTTTTTTCTGTACAGTGATATTACCTGTTTGATGGAATTTACTTGAAAAAAATATTCTGTCTATACAGTTTTCGTGTTTTACATTTGTCAGAAGTTACTAAATACCTCAATAATTGTTGTGTGGTGTTGTACACTTATGGAAATAAAGGATGCTTTGTATGGCAGTAGAATGGTCTTGGATGTTGATACAGATAACAATAACAAGTCCAAGAATCTTCCCAGGAGATTTCCTGGTATTTTAGAATGGGTCAGTTATATAAATCTTGTCTTGTTGAGGATTCTTCTTTTTCTGCATTCACCTTTAAAAGGGCGGTTGGGGGTCGGTATGTAATGTTTTGGTGGACATCTACTATTATCTGGAGATTGTCACCGGAGCTACGGAGTTGATGCTGTGTGCTGCGCTCTTAACAGGTGGCTAACCAATCTGCGGAGAGAGGCTGAGCAATTTGAGATCAAATTCAGTGCAGTGAAATCGATCCTCTCAACTTTAACCTTTAACAGTCAAGCTGTGAGTCGCTGACTATTAGTCTTTCATGCTGGATTGTGGGTCTCTCACTGAACGAAATCTTAACTTAAAAAATAAAAGCATATGTGTAAAATTGTTATAAAGTCACATTAGTCGTTGGTAAGATTCCAACAACACCACGGACGGGTAGTCCAAAAATGGTCTGGTGCCAGTGGAAATCATACAAAATTTAACTGGGCCATTTTAAAACTGGTGAAAAACATGAGGCTCGCACATGCAAAGTAAAAATGCATAAAATAGCTGTTAGATTTGCCAAAACTAATGGTTCCACACCATAATTGCAGCTTATGGTTGTCGCTTATGGTCACATTAATATCTGTTCAAATAGAATAATAATGCATATTGTATTTGAAAAAGAAAAAAGACATGTATCTTTACTTTATTTCATCCTTAGAAAAGCAGTGCGAGTCTGTGACTGAAATGAAACCAAAACCGTGTGACTCAGAAGTGGAACGGGTCCTTGACATACTGGGATTCAATTTTTATGACAGATTGTTTAGAAAAAGCCAGTTTTTATCTTATAGCTTTCAGACATTGGTATGAGAGTCGCATTATAGAAATAATAAAAAAGAATGGGGAGCTTCACCACATAATATCCCCCCCCCCCCCCCCCCTTTAGGAATTCATTGTGATGTTATCTGAAAAGCAACAACCTGCGTATAATTTTTCAATTTTTTTTCTCATTTATGTGTTTATATTGCCATGTGAGTTCGGGAGCCATATTTTGGTGTGAACAAGAACAGACTCACAGTCCTTCAACAAGCTAGTCAAATATGACTCATCAACATTTTATTTGAAATGAGACATGTTTGGCCAAAGGACACATATATTGCAGCCTAGTTGTAAACCACAACACAGTGTGCCAACCGCCATTCTAATGGTGAATACAGAATAAGAAGAATGTTTTGATTCATTATATATGGACACAATTTCAGCTTCTCAAATATCTTGTGTTTCAGGTATGCATGGACAGCTTTATACAAGGAAGGTCACCATTATTCAGGACTGCTGATTGTGTCTTGCATCAGCTGGTTGTTTGAGGTCAGTTGTAGTTTAGGAACACAGAACTGAATAGAGCCAGGGTGGTATAGTTGTTACTGTGTTTGAGGTCAGTTGTAGTTTAGGAACACAGAACTGAATAGAGCCAGGGTGGTATAGTTGTTACTGTACTTACTTGTCATGATAGTGGGTCCAGGTTCTTCTGCTTCTTCTTCTTGGTGGTCACCAGCTGTAAACTCTGGTTGAAAGTTCTGGTTGTTCATAAACTTTAGTCTTGTTCCATGGCCTAATTTTTGTGTGCACATCCATTTTACAGATCTGACTTATTTTTAGGCAGACTGTTGGTTCTTCCGGGAGAGCCACTCAAAGCATACACACTGTAGCTCCAGTGATGATCCACAGTGGTCTTTGTAAAAATTACACTTACCAACTGAGCGACACAACTGTGAAATGAACCCATGACCTTCATAGCGTGGGTTTGACCACTTCACCATGAATACCATGGAGCGATAGTGGGTTGGGTTGGGTTCGGTCACCATCAGAATTAATTTTCTCCTACAAGTTGAGCTGACTCATAATTAAATGTTATGACTGAATCACCAAGGTTGAGCTTTTGAAGGGAGCTAAACAAGTTCCAGTGGATCAAAAGGTGACGAAAAGACCCCGGTGTTGGATAGGACACATAATAACTGGAATGTCTTTGCACTGGAACACACAGGGGCATAGAAATAAAGACAGACCAAAAAGCATGTGGAGAATGAAGCTAGAGAATGAAGTTTAAAAAACTGAAGAAGACATGGGGTGATCTGCATGCAAAGGATATAACAACTTGGCGTGAGTTGGTTGAGGGCTTACACTCCATTGGTTGATAAAGGATAGATGAAGAAGAAGCTGCAGCTGGTTGAATCAACCCAGCCTCATAAAGATGGGTACCCATTTTCATAATTTCCAAGGAAATGTCTGGAAAGCAAAGTTTTAAGGGAAGACAACCGACTGATCCACCTAGTATATTGTTGCCTTAAATATGTAACTCTTGACACTGTGACAACATTAACTGCCATGGAACTACACTTTACTGCCAACAATATGTATTAAATTAAATTGGCAGACTTTTTTTAATGGTAATATTGGGAGACTTGTTTATGGTAATATTGGAAGACTTGTTTATGGTAATATTGGGAGACTTGTTTATGGTAATATTGAGAGACTTGTTTATGGTAATTTTATTGATTTCATTCCTAGACTCCAGCAGTTCCAGGAGGATTCTTTTTCTCATTTAATGATTCTGATGAGATTGCAGTGCTAACAGGCAATACACACATTTGCCAGATTGTAAGTATATAGTTGATAGATGTTTATTGTATATAGTGATAGATGTTTAGTGTAAGTAAATAGTTGATAAATGTTTAGTGTAAGTATATATTTGATAAATGTTTAATGTAAGTATATAGTTGATAGATGTTTATTGTATATAGTGATAGATGTTTAGTGTAAGTATATAGTTGATCAATGATTAGTGTAAGTATATAGTTGATAAATCTTTAGTGTAAGTATATAGTTGATAGATGTTTAGTGTAAGTATATAGTTGATAGGTGTGTAGTGTAAGTATATAGTTGATAGATGTTTAGTGTAAGTATATAGTTGATTGATATGTAGTATAAGTATATAGTTGATAGATGTTTCTTCTTCTTCACTTCCTCTTTTACCGCTGTGGGTGTTGAGGGGGATATAAGGTTCTGTTTTTAGCTCTTCTGGCTGCCTCGACCATAGGCACATCGTGCTGTTGTAGAGTTTCTCTGATGTTATCCTTCCATCTTGTTCTTGGTCTACTCCGTGCTCTACGTCCTTCTTCTCTTTCCATGTACGCTTTGCATGGTATGGTGTCACAAGGCATTCTCTCTAAGTGGGCAAACCATTTCACTTGCTGTCTTTGTATGTAATCCAGAATTGGTTCTGTGCCGACTTGTTCTCTTATGATCTCATTCCTGATCTTATCTCTTATGGTCACTCCTACAGCCCTTCTCAGACATCTCATTTCCATGGTTACTAATTTTCTTTTATGGTTTGTTGTGAGTGACCATGTCTGGCACTGGTAGCACAGAGTTGGAATAAATATGCTTTGAATAAGATGTCTCTTTGTGCTGATTGGGATTGTCTTATGCTGTAAGAGGGGGGCTAGCTGTCCCAATACTTGGTTTGCTTTACTGCATCTAATGTCAATTTCTTTATCCAATTTCCCATCTTCGGTAAATGTAGTTCCCAGATATTTAAACTCAGATGCCTGTTTAATGCCTTTGTATTCTATTGTTATGTTTAGATCTGTCTTCTTTTTTCCTATTGACATTACTTCTGTCTTTTCAGTGTTGATTCTCATATTATTTGTTTTACATTCTTCATTCACGGATGTTAGATGTTGTTGCAATTTCATGGCTGTATCTGCTATCAAGGCCTGGTCATCTGCAAAGAGTAATTCGTTGATCTTACTAAGATCTTCATTCATGGGCTTGGCATTCTTGCATAAACTGTCGATGTAGGTGATAAACAGCAGTGGTGATAAGACACACCCCTGTCTTACTCCAGATGTAACTGTGAAAGGATGAGATGTTCCCTGATTTATTCTAACTACACTTCTACAGTCCCTGTATAAACTTTTGCACACTTCGATGAGGTGTTCGCTAACTCCATATCTTGCCATTACTTTCCATAATAATTGTCTGTCGACTCTGTCAAATGCCTTCTCCTGGTCTACGAATGCCACAAATAAGTTCTTATTGTATTCAATGTTTTTTTCTATTAACTGTTTTAGTGTGAAGATTGCATCTGTGCAGCTTCTATTTCTCCTAAATCCCATCTTTTCTTCTGCCAGCTGTGGTTCTATCACTGGTCTCAGTCTTGTTTCTATCATCTTGGCATACATTTTGCCAACATGGCTTAAAAGAGAGATGCCTCTATATTGACCACATTCTCGTTTGCTTCCTTTGTTCTTCCACAATGGTATAACTATTGCATGTTGCCAATCAATAGGGGCCGTTTGTTGTACCCATGCCTCATTGAATATTCTGTGAAGCCGTCTGATGCTGCTTTCACCTGCTGCTTGAATTATTTCTGTTGGTAATCTATCAGCTCCTGGTGCTTTATATTTCTGTTTAATGACTTTCTATTTCATCCATTAGTATGTTTGGTTCTAACACTGTTGCTCTGTGCTCTTCAGTTGTTCTTTCCTGATGATCTCCTAGAGGATTAAAGAGCTCATTGAAGTATTCCCTCCATCTTTCTGCTATCTCGGGTGGATCTATCAATGGTCTTCCTGTCTTATCATTAATTATTTCAGTGGGGTTGTAGCTCTCATCTCTTTTCCGCATATTTTTAACTACTTAAAAAAATTTTCTGCTGTTTAGTGTAAGTATATAGTTTATAGATGTTTAGTGTAAGTATATAGTTAATAGATGTTTAGTGTAAGTATATAGTTGATAGATGTTCAGTGTTAGTTTATAGTTGATAGATATTTAATGTTAGTTTATAGAGATAAATATTTAATGCTAGTTTATAGAGATAGATATTAATGTTAGTTTATAGTTGATAGATATTTAGCATTCAGCAGATTTCACTAAGGCTAATTTTGTGCAAAGGTGATTTAAAAAAAAAATTTTTCTTTAAATGCATATATATTTGAAGTGTGCACACTTTGCTGTTGCAACCAGTACCAGAGCTGATGTAATACAGGTGTATTGGCCACTGCCCTTAGATGTTGTGTCATCAAAAACATCGGAAAACCCGCTTATCTTGAGAGTTAACACTCATTAGATTTGCATTATTATGGGGACACAAACAGATATCACCTGAGGAGCACAGCTTGAAAAAAAAAAGTGTCTTATTTCCATTACAAAAACAAATCTGCAGATAATTTTTGAAAAAAATTACTTTAATTGATTTTGCTCTCACTTATACATACATATTCACATGAAATAATTTCACTGAAATTATTGTTTAGGACTTTTTTTTTTATCTGTCAGGATCGACAGAAACTTGTTTGTCAGCAACTTCTTTCCTGGTGCTGTCCTTACCTAGGTAAGATTTTTTTTTTTTGATTCATCATGTTTTAATTTGAAAGAGATCCTGTATAGATGTATAAAATTATTTCCCCTGATGTTTGTAATATTTACCCCTCTGACTTCATTTGCCAGTTGGCAATGTGGTGACTGCAATAACAGGGGAAAAACTACTAACTGTGGTGTCAGTCAGAATTCAGCTGCTTGTATATTTCATCCGCACATTTTAATATTCTTTTCTGGTAGGTTTTCTAATATTTCATAGTTACCTGGCCTTTCAAACTTTGAGCCCCACTGTGTGGGTTTCAGGGCACCATTTTGGTGGTGGGGGGAGGAAGGGGGGGGGGGTGCATAGCCCCACAGCATGTCCTACAAGACAATAATTGGTTTGCTGAAATAATATGTGTTAGGTCGAAAAGTTTACACATCACAGCCTTGCTGTAACCCACAACACAAAATGCTAGCTCTCTTTTTAGGGTGAACATAAAAAGAAGGCTTCCAGATTACGAGACATTTCTAACGTTTGCAAACATTCTCTTAGTTGTTCATCCTTATCTGAGATGGCTAGCTGTTCAGTGCACTCCCCACTTCTTACATCATTTTATTTTTCTCAGACCAAGGCCATGTCCTCCTGGCATTGTTTTCACTAAAGCAACAGACAATAGCTGCCGAGCGAAATATTCTTCCACTTTCCGAAACTGGTGGTTCTAAAAAATCCTCCTCTGCTGACAAAGTAAAGAAAGACACTGGAGAGATTCAGAAATGGTTGGGTACCTCATTTGGACAGAACATTGAGAAGTAAGCACTTTTTTTTAATAAATGTGTTCTTTTATTTCTAATTGTTCTCTTACTTTCATTCTGAACTCAGTGATTTGAGTCTTTGAAGTTGTTAATAAAGTATCCACTTGTGTGTGCATATGTGTTTCGCTTCTGCAGAGCACTTTGTTCCAAACATTTTTGAGTTGATAAAGTAGGATGCCAGAGCTTGGTCATGCTGCCTGTGCCACTCAGGGTCTGTGCAATACTGTCCAGGCTTTGTGCTGTGCAGAGGAGGAACTTCATCCCTGGCATCAATTTGTTTAGCCGTGGCTTGTGATTCCTATGCCTTCCTAAGGTGCAATGGAACAGTGTCGTCTGGAAAGATGAAAAGGTGCCAACATCAACAGCAGTGTTGCTACTTATTTTTTTTTTTAACAAAAGACACTATAATCATGTTAACTGTAGTCTTAAGAGGCTTGGGTGCTTTATTAATATCCTACCCCAAACAGGGGAAATTCATAGGTCACGGGACAGTCTAATATTTCAGGGATTGATAGATAGGCTGCATGTACTTGTGGGACCTGGGCTGCACTCTCCCGTGGGGCGTAGGTGGGTTGGGGTTAGGGCCAGTTCTAGATGTTTTCTTGTTGTTAAAAGCACCAGAAAGCCGGAAACCCAGTCTTATTGCCCTCTAAAATCGTTGTACTGTCCGAGGCTTGAAAATATTAAACTGTTAACAATCTCAAAAACTCTGTAACTTCTTCATTTTTTCTGCTTCTTCACTTCCTCTTTTGCCACTTAGGGGTTTGAGGAAGATACAAGGTTCTGCTTCTTCACTTCCTCTTTTGCCACTTAGGGGTTTGAGGAAGATACAAGGTTCTGCTTCTTCACTTCCTCTTTTGCCACTTTGGGGTTTGAGGAAGATATAAGGTTCTGCTTCTTCACTTCCTCTTTTGCCACTTGCTTGAGGAAGATATAAGGCTCTGCTTCTTCACTTCCTCTTTTGCCACTTAGGGGTTTGAGGAAGATATAAGGTTCTGCTTCTTCACTTCCTCTTTTGCCACTTAGGGGTTTGAGGAAGATATAAGGTTCTGCTTCTTCACTTCCTCTTTTGCCACTTAGGGGTTTGAGGAAGATATAAGGTTCTGCTTCTTCACTTCCTCTTTTGCCACTTAGGGGTTTGAGGAAGATATAAGGTTCTGCTTCTTCACTTCCTCTTTTACCACTTAGGGGTTTGAGGAAGATATAAGGTTCTACTTCTTGCTCTCTGGCACCTCTACTATGGATACATCATGCTGTTGTAGAATTTATCTGTTTTTTTTCTTGTTCTTGGCTACTTGTGCTCTGTGTCCTTCTCTTCTTTTGGTGTTTGCCTTGTAGGGTATGGCTACACAGAGAATTCTCTCTAAAAGGGCAGGTCATTTGATTTGCTGTCTGTATGTAATTTAGAATTGGTTGTATGCTGACCTTTTTCTCTTAAGACCTCATTTTTGATTTTAACTCTTTTGGTCATTCTTGCAGCT